GTATGAAAATTATTTTTACTATGTATAAATCAGATACAAAATATATAAAAGACATATTGTATGAATTTTGTATAAAATTTGTATGTAAATATGTTATTGTAGTTGTATTTCACTGGGTGAAAATAATGTGTGAAAGTTGTAAAAAATTGTATATAAGTTGTATTCCTATACAACAGGAGATGTTGGCATATCAAGTAACTTTAGTGTTCCAGACGAACATGCATGAAAAAAAAAGAAAAATTCTATTATGAACAGTTTGTAGATAATTTGTAGAAACATTAAAATTCTATATTTTCATATTAATTTTTCAAATGATATGTAGTTTTATTATAGAATAAATGTAGAAAACAAGCCATTGTGAGTCTTATTTGATTCATTCCTCACATTCAACCTATTCTACAAATTCACACCTCTTTAAATACAATACAACCATACTTTCTTGAATTTAAAGGTATAGCAATATATATAACTTAAAAAACATCTTCTCCTCTTTACAAGTTAGCTCCAAAACAGACGAAGCGGAATAACAAGCTCTCATCAAAACTTTTAACACAAAAACACAAAGCTAAATTTTATGTTATTGTAGTTATATTTAACTGGGTGGAAATAATGTGTGAAAGTTGTAGAAAATTGTATATAAGTTGTATTCCTCTATAACGGGAGATGTTGACATATCAAGTAACTTTAGTGTTGCAAACGAATATGCATGAAAATAAAAATAAATTCTGTTATGAACAGTTTGTAGATATTTTGTAGATAATTTATAGAAACATTGAAATTCTGTATTTTCATATTAATTTTTCAAATGATATGTAGTTTTGTTGTAGATTAAATGTAGAAAACAAGCCATTGTGAGTCTTATTTGACTCATTCCTCACATTCAACCTATTCTACAAATTCACACCTCTTTAAATACAATACAATTATACTTTCTTGAATTTAAAGGTATAGCAATATATATAACTTAAAAAACATCTTATCATCTGCACAAGTTAGCTCCAAAACAGACGAAGTGGAATAACAGGCTCCCATAAAAACTTTTAACACAAAAACACAAAGCTCAAAAATAAATAAACAACAATCTACAATTTTTTTACAATTTATCTACAATTTCTGCAATATAATGTATGTCATGTCTTCTACTTCTTCTTCTTCGAGTTTCAATCTGAAATTCAACCAAAACCAAGTCTAATCTTCACCAAAACCCCCTCAAAATTGAGATATAAACTCCAAACCATATTTTCAATTATTTACAACAACACCCAATCCAAACAAATAATGATTTTTGAAAACCCAAATTTGAATTCAAAGCTTTAAAGCTTTTTAATGGCTGTCAATAGTGGAATTGTTGCTCTCTTTTCCTTTCCTCTTATATTACTGAAATTTGGTATTGCAAGATAGAGAGAGACGTAGAGAGAATTCTCAATTCTTTGCAACAACATCCAATCCAAACAAACAATGTCTTTTGAAAACCCAAATTCGAATTCAAATCTTCAAAGCTTTTTAATGGTTGTCAATGGTGGATGAGTTACAGATTTTCGCTGGTTTTAGAAGAGGAAATCGTGGGTGTTTGAAGAGGAAATCGTGGGGATTTGGAGAGAGAAACTTGTTGGGAGTGGGAATATACGGTTGAGTTAATACCATTAAAATCCTAAAATAGTACATAAATAGTAATTAAGTATATAGAAGGTAATTATATTAAAAGTTAAGCACGGAGGGTAATATAGTTTACTATATGGCATACGAATGTAAAAATTCCATTTGGAATTGCATATGATAAAAGTTGCACATCAGGTGGCTTAATTGCTGGCTATTACATACATATATTTGGATCAAAAAATACATTTTTTACATCCATGACAGTAAATGGTCCGGACAACATCTGTAGTATTTACATCATATACAGCATAACTATTAATATATTAGCTAACTATCTACACATTCAGTAACAGTGCTGCATGAAACTGTGGTGTTTAGTCTTCTTGGCTTCTTCTGAGCATGTATTGACAAACAAAGACCCGTAAACAAAGAAGCACGAGAATATCATCTGCCTTAGTGAAATTTTCAAGGTTGTAGAAAATAGGAGACATTAAAATGCATACAGATGAAGCAATTTCATGAATCTCAACATATTCAACTGGAAAAGAAATGCAATGGGTGCTATCACAATCTTTTCTAAGTACGGAAAAAAGGTCAAATATATCCTTATACTATCATAAATAGTTTAATTATATCCTCCGTTATACTATCCACTTCTTGGAGCCCCTACCGTTACACATGGGGGCCAGATATACCCTTATATTAGACGGAGTGTCATGTGTCAAAGCCAGATTGAATTAACCCATCAGTTTTTCCTAACCGGTTCACTTAAAAAAACACTACCCAACCCGGAGTCCACCCCCACAGCTTCTCTCTCCCCTCTTTTCCTCCTCTTTCTCCCTCGCCTCACTGTGATTTCTTCTCAACCCATCAATTCAATGCTTAAAATAGTTATTACAAACTACAACTTTGTCCTACTATCGTCTCTCTGAGGTGACAAATCTTTGCAAGTCTATTGTCCTACTATTAACTAGAAATTAATGCTTAAGCATGGACATAAAACCTGTTGAATATTGCTAATGTATAACCCTTTTTTTCCTGGTGATATCACATTGGGAATATCGTTCCAATGCTTAGGCTAAACCAAAATTTTCAAACACGACACTTATTCCAGCTCTCTAATTGCAAAATCAAGATTCGAGCTCTCTAATATCGAACAGTGGAGACTATTTCGAATTCAAATTTCAATAAGCAGTAAATGACTCAAACTCTCAGTCTACTCCCTAAGCCCTCGAATAGTGCTCCTTATGGTAACAACGCTAGCAGTGTTCAATGTGTAAGCACCACCAGCTTTAACTTTGTTGTAGTCTTTGCAACCCCAAACATCAACAACTTTCCTCTTGACGGATTTGACAAATAAAAGGAAAACATGAGAAAGGAGAACAATGACTCGCCTGAAAAATATATTTCCGGTCAGATCCAGTAAATTTTGGAGCCGAAACTTTTAGATCTCCGGCCTCTTGCATGTATTTCTCCAGATCTGTGTGTAAATGTGTTTGTAGGTATAGAAAAAGGGGAAGAGAAAGTGTGAGGTGACAAATCTAAAGGTTCTCGATGGTTTCCGGCGAGTTCGCCGATGGACATTCCGGCGGTTACAACAGTGAGAAGAGGTGAGAGGGAGAAGCAGTGGGGTGGAGTTTGGGTCGGGTAGTAGGTTTTTTAAGTGAATCGGGTTAGAAAAAAAGAGAGGAAATGGGTCAATTTAATCTGGTAATGACAAATGACATTCCACCCAAAATAAGGATATATCTGACCCTAAAGTGTAACGGTAGGGGCACTGAGAGGTGGATAATATAACGGAGGACATAATTAAACAATTTATGAAAGTAGAGGATATATTTGACCTCTTCTCTGTTCTAAGTATGTATCTCAACTCTGTAATATCAATACTTTAAGCAATTATCATCGTATTAAGAGTAAGCATTCTGAGATTCAGCAAGCTAGAAATTGATATAAGAAAGTCTATGTCATAAATTTTTAATATCTCACATGATGTATAATGAGAACTATTCGAAGGTATTTAATAACCACAAATGCATTCAGTAATAAATTGTCACGACCCTATTCTTGAACCCGATCGTGATGGCGCCTCTAGTGAAGACAAGGTCAACCAATTAAACCCAATTTACTTTTTAAAACAGTTAAACAACATAAAAGCAATCTAAAACATGATTTAAACAACACTAAGTAGCGATAATATCAATAAGGTGCGGAAGTACAACCCGACACAGCCCTAACCAGGGTGTCACAAGTCACGAGCATCTAACATCACTGAATCCTCAAATGTAACTATAGAGTTTAAATACTAAACTGAGGACATAAAGGAAAGAGATAGGGAGGAGCTCCAGGCTGCGAACGCCAACAACTACCTAAAGACTCCTCGAGATCCGCCTGAAGCTGGAATGAATCAACACTCGGGAGCGGAACCAGCAACGCCTGAATCTGCACACAGGGTACAGGGAGTAAAATGAGTACTCCAACTTAGTGAGTAACAAATGTAAATAACGACTGAAAGTATGAAAACACGTAAGACACAAGACATTCTATAATAAAGCAGTGAAATCATTTAAAAGCAGTAAACCAGTGAAAAAATTAAGTGAAATCTGTTTTCAACAATAACCAGGTAATTGACAGGTAATGAAGATACAGTAAACAAATAGAAGTTCGCCCCTCGTGCACAGTATCAACAATTACACCCCTCGGGCAACATCTCAGAACAATACCAGCCTCTCGGGCTCAATCTCACATCACAATGGGTACCCGCGCTCACTCGGGGTGTGCAGACTCTTGGAGGGGCCCCTTACGGCCCAAACGCAATAACAAGCCATCTCGTGGCATCAAACCAGGCCCTCGCCCTTATATCAATCAAGCCACCTCGTGGCGTACATATCTCAGGTCCTCGGCCTTAAATCAGTATCAGCGTTTCCTCACAACATAAGCCCTCGGCCTTACTCAGTCAAAAATACTCACAAGCCCTTCAGGCAATAGTAAAATCGTGTTTCTCAGCCCAAACATCATTTAAAATATCATTTAAGTCTTAAAACTGAGTAAACATGGTTGAGTGTAAAAACAGTGAAAAATAACATGACTGAGTTCAAGTAATAAGTTAAAATAGTGAGAAAATAATAAAATAAATCCCCGAAGGGTTCAAATAGTTGGCACGAAGACCGAATATGTCATTCAGTCCAAATTATCATGATAGCAAATAGATTCAGTCAAATACTTAGTAAAATCATTAATCGGGACGGACCAAGTCACAATCCCCAAAAGTGCACGACCTAATGCTCGTCATCAAGCTTGCACCTCACCTCAATATAAAACTACGATGTGCAAATCCGGGGTTTCGAACCCTCAAAACATCATTTACAATCATTACTCACCTCGAACCGGTTAAATCTCTAGCTCGTGATGCCTTTGCCCCTCGAATCAGCCTCCACTGCGTCGAATCTATACAAAATTAAAACGAGGACGTCAAAATATGCTAAGGGAACGAAGCCCAAGCGAAAACAATCAATAAAAGGCATAAATCCCGAAATTACCAAAACCCGGCCCCCAGGACCACGTTTCGGAAATCAATAATTTTTACACCAATAGATTCCTTATCTCCTTACGAGTTCATACATATCAAAAGTTCAGATATCCGATCTCAAATGGTCCATCAAATCCCCAAGCAAAGGTCTCCAATACAAAACCCTAGGTTCTCCAAATTTCACCCTTAATTTCCCGCTTTAATCCATGAAATAATAGCATAGGAATGAGTTTTAAGTCCAAATTCCTTACCTTGATGAAGTTTCCTTGAAATCCCTCTTTCAAATCGTCCAAAAAGATCCAAGGCCGAAGTCAAAAATGGTAAAATAACCTAAAATTCGCGAAGGACCCTTTTTATACCTTCTGCCCAATTGTTCCGCATCTGCGGTACCGCATATGCGGCCTTTTCCCCGCTTCTGCGGTATCGCATATGTGGCCTTTTCCCCGCTTCTACGGAAATAACTTAATAGGCCAAATCCGCATCTGCGGTCAACTCTCCGCACCTGCGACTCCGCAGGTGCGGTTAAACTACCGCATCTGTGGTTCCTGACTCTTCCTCCCAAATCCGTTTCTACGGCTCCCCTTCCGCACGTGCGGCGCCGCACCTGCGGTCCCTAAACCACAGGTGCGAAAACACCAGAAGTAGCAATTTCAGCAACTGCAATAACATCTCAACTTCTCCGTTAACCATCCGAAATCATTCCGAGGCCCCCAGGACCTCAACCAAAAGCACAAACATTTCCTAATACCTTATACAAACTTGTTCCAATCATCAAAACACTTCAAACAACATCAAATCAACCAAAATACCTCGGATTCAAGCTTAAGTTTCTAAAATCTTCCGAATTTCGCTTTTGATCAAAAACCCAACCAAACCACGTCCGAATAACCTGGAATTCTGCACACACATCCCAAATGACCCAACGAAACTACTGCAACTCTCGGAATTCCATTCTGACCCCTATAGCAAAATCTCGCCTATCAACCGGAAATCACCAAAATATCAACTTCGCCAATTCAAGTCTAAATCTTCTCCAAACCTCCAAAACCAATTCCGATCACACTCCTAAGTCTCAAATAACCTTTCGAAGCTAATCGAAACTCATATCCGAGCCATCTAACACATAATTCAACATTCGATTGACTTTTCCAAATTAAGCATTCTTAAAAGAGACGAAGTGTCTCAAACTTCACCAAAATTATTTCGGATTCAATCCGACCAACCCGATACCATAAAACACGGATAACAAAGCATAAAATGGAGGCCAGTGTTGCCAATGCATCGGCGAACTTATTTTTTCTCTGGGTAGTGCAGTTTGTAAAATGCTACTTTTCTTTCTGCAACAAGTAAGACTTCTTTATCAACATGGTAGCGAGAAGAGAGACAACGGATGGAATTGGAGAGAAAGGTGTAAGAAGCAGAAATGGGGAAAACGGAGCGGTAAATCATGAGACGACTGTCCGGGTCGTCACATAAATTTAAAAATTAAATTACTTTCCGTAGTCAGCACGAATAAACTAACTCTGTAAGCAGTCGCGAGGCCCTTTTTTTTTGGGGGGGGGGGGGGGGGGG